ACCCTGAGGGTCTCCTTCAACTGGATAGTCAGGGAACACAACCCTGAGGGACTCCTTCAACTGGACAGTCAGGGAACACAACCCTGAGGGACTCCTTCAACTGGACAGTCAGGGAACACAACCTGAGGGTCTCCTTCAACTGGACAGTCAGGGAACACAACCCTAGGGACTCCTTCAACTGGACAGTCAGGGAACACAACCCTGAGGGTCTCCTTCAAACTGGAAGTCAGGGAACACAACCCTGAGGGACTCCTTCAACTGGACAGTCAGGAACACAACCCTGAGGGACTCCTTCAACTGGAGAGTCAGGGAACACAACCCTGAGGGTCTCCTTCAACTGGACAGTCAGGGAACACTACCCTGAGGGACTCCTTCAACTGGACAGTCAGGGAACACAACCCTGTGGGACTCCTTCAACTGGACAGTCAGGGAACACAACCCTGAGGGACTCCTTCAACTGGACAGTCAGGAAACACAACCCTGAGGGTCTCCTTCAACTGGACAGTCAATGAACACAACCCTGAGGGACTCCTTCAACTGGACAGGCAGGGAACACAACCCTGAGGGTCTCCTTCAGCTGGACAGTCAGGAAACACAACCCTGAGGGACTCCTTCAACTGGACAGTCAGCGAACACAACCCTGAGGGACTCCTTCAACTAGACAGTCAGGGAACACAACCCTGAGGAATGCCTTCAACTGGACAGTCAGGGAACACAACCCTGAGGGACTCCTTCAACTTGACAGTCAGTGAACACAACCCTGAGGGACTCCTTCAACTGGACAGTCAGGGAACACAACCCCTAGGGACTCCTTCAACTGGACAGTCAGGGAACACAACCCTGAGGGACGCCTTCAACTGGACAGTCAGGGAAAGGCTATTATTTACCTCGACGCAAAGTGTCTCTCTGAAAGAAATCTTTAAGGAAAATTGGAAAATTGTCTCGGAGGCGTAAGGAATGGGTTTAGGCTAAACTTCCGTAAACTTTCTCGAGATAAAAAAAAAAAGGCAATAACTGACTGTGATTCTGCGAACGTTGGTATCCCAGTGGATTAAGAGTTAGTAGGTAAGACACATAGGCAACAGTTAGGCAACTTTATTCCGAAACGTTTCGCCTACACAGTAGGCTTCTTCAGTCGAATACAGAAAGTATGCAGGAACAGTAGAGATGTGAAGAAGATGTAATCAGTCCATCACCATTAAAGTCGTAGATTTGAGATTGTCAGTCCCTCAGCCTGGAGAAGTTCAGTTCCATAGTCTGGAACTATCTTAAGATCAAGCGACAGTGCGGAGACTTAAATACTGTCGGAAGGAGAGGTGCAGAGTAGTAGTAGTGAGAGTTGATTGAGTATTGGTCCATTTGAAAACCAAACTGACGAGGGAAGAGTTGTACTAGTAATATCAATGGGTAAATAATTATAAGTGTCACGGCCCTAAGTATCTAGTTTATGAATGGGTAGCAGTTTTCCATTGATGAGGTAGAACCCCTTGGGACCAAATAAGATTGAAAAGATGTAAGAGAACCACAAGTGTTGTATGGTGCGAGTGTTGAAGAATACGGACATGGGTGTCATTAAGCCCAGCTGCTGTCGTATGGTAAATGGAAAGAGCAGACGAGGGTACGTTGTAAGGTTCTTTAGTGTGAGTAGTAAAATCCAGAGGGACCGATTCCTTCTCAAGCTTAGAGGAAACAAATGAGGGAGAGAGAGAGATGGACCCCTTGAGATACACGGAGGTGATGCCTGATCTGAGTGCTGTGGCAACCTCAACAAGGTCTGTAAGTCTTTCGCCAGCAGCCGAAAGAACAGGAGTCTGGAGAGTACTTGCCAGTCAACTTCTGTATCTTCTTCCAAACTATACACACACACACACACACACACACACACACACACACACATGACAGGAGGGTTAGGGAAGACTTGATAACGACATGCAAAATATTGCGTCGAATAGACAAGGTGGACAGAGACAGGATGTTCCAGAGAGGGGACACAGAAACAAGGTATCGCTATTGGAAGTTGAAGACCCAGATGAATCAAAGGAAGGTTAGGAAGTATTTCTTCAGTCATAGGGTAGTCACGAAGTGGAATAACCTAGCAAGTGAGGTAGTGGAGGCAGGAACCATACATAGCTTTAAGATGAGGTATGATAAAGCTCATGGAGCAGGGAGAGAGAGGACCTAGTAGCAGTAAGTGAAGAGGTGGGGCAGGAGCTGAGTCTCGACCCCTGCAACCACAATTAGGTGATTACACAGGTACTTGAACTGACATGGACACACAAGCCTGCCAACAAGTATGTTTCGCCACCTACATAACACGGCGAGCATATTCTCACTCTTGTTTTAAAAGTTAGGAAGCGATTGGCAGTTCTGCTGTGACGGAACGACCCCACGCAGCGCGTGTCAAATACGCAGCACGAGCACCGTCAGAACAATATTTTCCCCACACTGCGGGGATTTCAGTTGATGCTTCGGCATGAATAGAATTAGTGAAAATTTGTGTACGAGCTGTTTGCTCAAATTGCCACCGGGAGCGATAAGGAGGTCGAGGCAGGGGGACGGGGTGTCGAGTGTAAGAATGAGAAGTAAAAAGACGAAAATGATCTCTCTCATGAGCCATGAGGATCAGGCACTAGAGAGCAACCAAAGAAGAAATGCGGTGCGCGCGCGTGAGAGAGAGAGAGAGAGAGAGAGAGAGAGAGAGAGAGAGAGAGAGAGAGAGAGAGAGAGAGAGAGAGAGAGAGAGAGAGAGAGAGAGAGAGAGAGGCTAACTGGTCTCCATGAAAGTCACAGTGAGACTCTTCCCAGAGGAAATGATTATTCTCTTCACCTAACATGTGGAGTGAAGGAGGTAAGGAAGAAATCAGAAAAAGGGCTAGAAGAGAAAAGATAAAAAAAAAAAAAACGTGTATCACTTAGCCAAATAGACGGTGGCTGCAGGGAAATGGATCAAGTTACAGTAACAAAACATAGCTAGAAACAAGAAGTGCAACTGTGGAACGTAATTTAAGGTCCTGACTCATGAAATCGTAATGACACGATTGCAAACAAACCATACCACGGGTGGGGTTGGATCCCGCGGTCAGAGAGTCTCCAAACTCCAGACCGTCGCGTAAGCCACTGACTGGACCAGCTAGCCACAATAAGATTCGCCCAACTAGGTACATTTCTACACCAGAGGAAGGTTAGCATACCTAGTTGGATGAATCTTATTGTGGCTAGCTGGTCCAGTGGCTAACGCGACGGTCTGGAGTTTTGAGACTCTATGACCGCGGGATCAAACCCCACCCGTGGTATGGTTTGTTTAAGGTCCTATAAACACATTCATACAAGGGAAAGCTGGAAGAATAACATTTGGAGCTCTCACAACTTTCTCTACATCCGCTGACATTCCATTGTAATAGAGCAAATTATCAGTTAATAATAAGAAAAGAAAAGCAAGCAGGCGGTGGTTGTGGGCTAGCTAGGGTGGTTAGTAACGTCGATGTTTTGTGTAGTGGATAACAACCCTAGAAGAAAGACGTTGGTTAGGAGCAGGTGTAGTGGGACTGTCAAGGTAAGAGAGGCGAGTCGGTGTCCTTCTTTTAAGATGATATGGCCTCAAGAGTTTCTGAAGACAAAGCAGTAGCAGGAAACGTGGCGCAAGAGAAGGAAGAGGTACAGGGAGCACAGGTTGGAGAGGCATTTGCATCTGTGTTAATTGGAAGAGACAAAGAGAGTAGTGGTGTTCTGGGGGGAAGGAATCTGGTAGAGACAGAATGGGGTGGTGGATGATGTCCACAATTGTCGCAGACGCAGGAGGAGGCACAGGGGAGACATAGAGATAGGGAATGTTAAATGTGGAGGAGCAAGAAACCAGAAGAGACTTTTTGTGACTGGGGGAGTTTTGAGCCTTTGAGATTTTGGAGGAAGAGATAATAGATCAGTCGGGGAAGCCTGTGTTGGCGGAGAAACATATGAAATGGAAGAAAGCAAAATAAGAACAATGAGAGAATATGAAGAGGTAGGAACAAAGACTAATGCCGTTCAGATATTTTAATTTTCATCAGAGAGAAGCGCTAAACCCATAGAATTCCTATAGCAGCTGGGAAATAGGCTTCAAATTTTCAGCTGTCGTGTATGGTAACTAGGACCAAATTCTTACCTCTTAATCTCCCAAGAGTATTACCTCTTATTATTTCCCATTGTGGGGAGCTAGTAAGAGATATTTCCCTGGGAAATATTGCCTTTAATACTCCCAAGACAGAAAATTATTCATTATCTCAGAGATACAATATTCACCTCTATATCACTATTACTTAGTGACCATTTTACACTTAAAAGAAATATTATTTCTCATAAAATAGCAATAATATCAGTGAAAATTAAATAATAATAATAATAATAATAATAATAATAATAATAATAATAATAATAATAATAATAATAATAATAATAATAATAATAATAATAATAATAATAATAATAATAATTATAATAATAATAATAATAAGTCATAGTAAAAAAAGTGAACAACTCAATGTGTTACAGTGCCACACCAGCTGGGTGAGCTCACACCAGCTGGGTGAGCTCACACCAGCTCACTCTAGCTGTCATCTCACTCTGGGTGGGTCATTTCACTCTGGGTGGGTCATCTCACTCTGGGTGGGTCATCTCACTCTGGGTGGGTCATCTCACTCCAGGTTATTGACCCCAAAACTTCACACCAATTCTCCTTCCAACTTTCCTGATCGTCTTCATCATTATGATTTTCCTCCTGGCCACTATGATTTTCCTCCTGGCCACTATGATTTTCCTCCTGGCCACTATGATTTTCCTCCTGGCCACTATGATTTTCCTCCTGGCCACTATGATTTTCCTCCTGGCCACTATGATTTTCCTCCTGACGATTCACGCCAGGGACAGATTTTTTCTCTGCCTCAGGGAAGGTCACGGTGTCGGGGAAGGTCACGGTGTCGGAGAGGGTCACGGTGTCGGGGAGGGCCATGGTGTCGGGGAGGGTCATGGTGTCGGGGAGGGTCACGGTGTCGGGGTCCGGTCGGGAGGGTCACGGTGTCGGGGAGGGTCACGGTGTCGGGGAGGGTCACGGTGTCGGGGAGGGTCACGGTGTCGGGGAGGGTCACGGTGTCGGGGAGGGTCACGGTGTCGGGGAGGGTCACGGTGTCGGGAAGGGTCACGGTGTCGGGAAGGGTCACGGTGTCGGGGAGGGTCACGGTGTCGGGGAGGGTCACGGTGTCGGGAGGGTCACGGTGTCGGGGAGGAGGTCACACGGTGTCGGGGAGGGTCACGGTGTCGGGGAGGGTCACGGTGTCGGGGAGGGTCACGGTGTCGGGGAGGGTCACGGTGTCGGGGAGGGTCACGGTGTCGGGGAGGGTCACGGTGTCGGGGAGGGTCACGGTGTCGGGAGGGTCACGGTGTCGGGAGGGTCACGGTGTCGGGGAGGGTCACGGTGTCGGGGAGGGTCACGGTGTCGGGGAGGGTCACGGTGTCGGGGAGGGTCACGGTGTCGGGGAGGGTCACGGTGTCAGGGAGGGTCACGGTGTCAGGGAGGGTCACGGTGTCAGGGAGGGTCACGGTGTCAGGGAGGGTCACGGTGTCAGGGAGGGTCACGGTGTCAGGGAGGGTCACGGTGTCGGGGAGGGTCACGGTGTCGGGGAGGGTCACGGTGTCGGGGAGGGTCACGGTGTCGGGGAGGGTCACGGTGTCGGGGAGGGTCACGGTGTCAGGGAGGGTCACGGTGTCAGGGAGGGTCACGGTGTCGGGGAGGGTCACGGTGTCGGGGAGGGTCACGGTGTCGGGGAGGGTCACGGTGTCAGGGAGGGTCACGGTGTCAGGGAGGGTCACGGTGTCAGGGAGGGTCACGGTGTCAGGGAGGGTCACGGTGTCGGGGAGGTCACGGTGTCGGGGGACGGTCACGGTCGTGCGGGAGGGTCACGGTGTCGGGGAGGGTCACGGTGTCCGGGAGGGTCACGGTCCGGGAGGGTCACGGTGTCAGGGAGGGTCACGGTGTCGGGAGGGTCACGGTGTCGGGGAGGGTTCCGGTGTCAGGGAGGGTCACGGTGTTGGGAGGGTCACGGTGTCAGGGAGGGTCTCGGTGTCAGGGAGGGTCACGGTGTTGGGGAAGAGTTTGCTGTTATAGAAATACATGGTTTTCTGGAAGTGGAAGGGTGTTGTACTGGGGCAGGGACTGGTACTGGGGCAGGGTTTGGTACTGGGGAAGGGTTTGGTACTGGGAAAGGGATTGGTACTAGGGAAGGGTTTGGTACTGGGGAAGGGATTGGTGTTGGGGAAGGGATTGGTGTTGGGGAAGAGTTTGCTGTTATAGAAATACATGGTTTTCTGGAAGTGGAAGGGTGTTTTATTGGGGTAGGGACTGGTACTGGGGCAGGGTTTGGTACTGGGGCAGGGTTTGGTACTGGGGCAGGGTTTGGTACTGGGGAAGGGTTTGGTACTGGGAAGGGTTTGGTACTGGGGAAGGGTTTGGTACTGGGGAAGGGTTTGGTACTGGGGAAGGGATTGGTACTAGGGAAGGGTTTGGTACTGGGGAAGGGATTGGTGTTGGGGAAGGGATTGGTGTTGGGGAAGGGATTGGTGTTGGGGAAGAGTTTGCTGTTGTAGAAGTACATGGTTTTCTGGAAGTGATAGGGCTTGGTTTTGGGGAATGGCCTGGCGTAGAGGCGGGGTTGAGCATCGGGGAGGGTTGAGCATCGGGGAGGGGTTGATCATCGGGGAGGGATTTGGCATCGGGGAGGTATTGGGTGTCGGGGAGAGGTTGGGCATCGGGGAGAGGTTGGGCATCGGGGAGGGATTGGCCATCTGGGAAGAGTTGGGCGTCAGGAAGGTACGATTTGGCGTCGGGGAGGGGTTTGGCGTCGGGGAGGGGTTTGGCGTCGGAGAGGGGTTTGGCGTCGGAGAGGGGTTTGTCGTCGGAGAGGGGTTTGGCGTCAGAGAGGGGTTGGTCGTGGAGGAAGGTGATGGTGTTGGTGAGGGAATGCTCACCACCAACACACACGGGGTCACCACCAACACACACGGGGTCACCACTCACCACAGCCACAGGGTTACATGAACTAGAAAAAGTTCTTTGATTCTTAACCCTGACCATACTTCTGAGAGTCGTGTAATACGTTCCTAATAGCATTAGGAAAAGCAGGAGAACCATCATCAGCTCGGAGGCTGAATAAGTCCCCTGGCAAGATTCTTGGTTATTCTTGAGAACCACCTCCAAGTGTCTGATATCCTGGTATGCCTGGTATCCTCTCAAGATGGTGCCCAGGACAGGACAAACTTTTGGATCCCACCAAGGGCTTACCTGGCTTGTAGTGGACTGGGATAGGGTATGAAGGTCACAGTTGAAAATCAACCTTATCTCAGGGAAGCGACACATTTGCTAGACAATAGATAAACAGGCTAAGGACGTTTCCTCGACATCCTTTAGTAGTAGCTCCCGGTCCTCTTCCATCTGTTGGACCCATTTATCGAAACAACTATATAAATCAAGAGAAATATTGATAAACAGTAACACAGCTGCAGCGCAGATCAATCTTCTAAATATTTCCATAGTTTTAACTTAGATTTGACGACTGGGGAAAACTAGAAGATAATAAAATACAAGTTATTTAGCAAGAATAATGCCAATAATATCACATATGTGAGAAATATAGTGAGGTAAGAATAGTTGTTCTGCCCTTGTGTATAGTGAATGCGACAAATGTAGTGTATAGTGAAAGTGATGTATGTATAGTGATGGTGGTAAACGTAGTATATGGTGAAGGTGATAGATGTAGCGTATAGTGAAGGAGATAGATGTAGTGAATAGTGAAGGTGATAATATATAGTGAAGGTGAAAGATGTAGTGTATAGTGAAAGTGATATATGTATAGTGATGGTGGTACATGTATATTGTGAAGGTAATAGATGTAGTGTACAGTGAAGATGATAGATGTAGTGTATAGTGAAGATGATAGATGTAGTGTATAGTGAAGATGATAGATGTAGTATATAGTGAAGGTGAAAGATGTAGTGTATAGTGAAGGTGATATATGTATAGTGATGGTGGTACATGTATATAGTGAAGGTGATAGATGTAGTGTATAGTGAAGGTGATAGATGTAGTGTATAGTGAAGGTGATAGATGTAGTGTATAGTGATGATATTAGATGTAGTGTATAGTGATAATATTAAATGTAATGTACAGTGATGGTATTAGATATACAGAAGGCAGCACCGGCATCCTAGCAACTCTTATTCTTCAAGAAACCATTGCTCATCAAAGCTTGTGATGGCCTAATTGAAGGTACAACTACATGAACCCACGTTGACCACAAAATGACCCAAGAATACTAAGATGTAACCCAAATCTTGACAAAATAGAAGATCTAAGGAAGACAGCCCTGCTAACCCAAACACTGCCTCCGCTGCCAGATAATCACTTAACCCAAGCTCAGGGAAATCAAGCTGTCTCCTCCATAGCTACACAGTATCTACTTTAGTGATACTAAGAAAGGATATCGCAGAAGAAACAACAGCAGTAAGAAAAGAATAACACCAAGGACCCTAGAACTCACCCAGCAGGACGCCGGTGTATCATCAACCCCCCTCACCACCACCACCCAGAGAACAACAACAACCCCCCTCACCACCACCACCCAGAGAACAACAACAACCCCCCTCACCACCACCACCCAGGGAACAACAACAACAAACATGGTTGACTTCCCCTCCAACTCCACTCCCTTCAAAGGATTCACCCATGATAACTCAGGTATGATTATTCCTGACAATATCAGGGAATACAACGTTGCTCTAGAAAACGAAATCAAAGATATTAAAGCAACACTTGCGCGACGAGAATCCAAGATCCAAAACCTTGAAGAGATGATTACCTCGGAAAGTGCTGACACAGAAAATACTCTGAAAACAGCTATAGCCAGTCACACTGAGCAAATAACAACTCTAAATATGAAGGTTGAAGAAACAATCAAGGACTGGAATCAGAACATGCACACTCGACTGAATGAATATCTTGATTTCCAAGACGACAAAACTGAACAAGATAAGTTGTCTGATGCAGTTATAATAAACAATCCACACATTCCTAGTGACATAACCCAAGAACAGTGCAAAGAAACTGCTATCAGGATAATACAGGACCACGTACAAGTTATCCTGCAGAACAATGAAATCAAAGAAACACGTTTGTTATTGGCTTACAGGATGAATTTTTGACAAAAAATGGCTAAATTTCAATATGTTTTGCTAGTTTTGGATGTAAAACAAAAACATATAATAAAATATATAAAATTTTTGTAAATAAAATCAAATTTACACAAATTTTATTTTAAACTTTCTGAAACATATTTACAAAGTTAAAAATGAGCAGTTTTTCTAGATTTGCGAACAAGCCCTCAAATGTAGTCTTCCATCATGTTTTCATTATAAGAACCCTGATATCTGTGTTCAAAGTTCATTATATTTTGTTGGAAGTGCTCCCCTTGCTCCTCTGAATATGTTCCCATATTCTTCTTGAAATTGTCAAGATGAGCATCAAGGATATGAAACTTAAGAGACATCCTACAGCCCATCTGACCATAGCTTTTTTACCAAGGTCTCAACAGGTTCCATATAATTGTCAGCCTTGTTGTTGCACAGAAAGCCCTGTGCTGCAGCAACAGAGCTTCTTTGGAAATTCTGAGCACTCCATGATTTTCCTGACTTGTGGTTCAGTGAAAATCCCAGCTTATAACTTTCCCTCTGATAGCTTGGGAAAGAAGTCTTGAAGATACTTGAAGGCTACAGACTCTTTGTCAAGAGCTGTAACAAACTGTTTCATTAGCCCTAGTTTGATGTGTAATGGAGGGAACAAAACCTTTTGAGGATCCACCAATGGTTTATGTTTGATATTATGTCTTCCTACTGAGAACTCAGTCCTTTTAGGCCAATGTTTCCTCGGGTAATATGCTGCTCTGTTTCTGTCCCAGTGACAGAGATAACAGGGAAACTTGGTAGAATCACCTTGGAGTCCCATCAAAAATGCTACCACTGTGAAGTCTCCAATAACCTCTCAGCCATACGTATCATAGCTCAAAGCTTCCAGCAGAAGTTTGACACTGTTGTAGTCCACCATAAGATTCACTGAATGAGCCAAGGGAAGGGATGGATAATTGATTCCATTGTACAGAAGAACAGCTTTTAGGCTTCTGGAGGAGCAGTCAGGAAAGAGTCTAGATTGCATGGGTTGCATGCAGTTTCAATTGCATGAAACAGACCTGATACATCATTACAGTAGCACAATATGTGTTCATTAGTAAAGAAGCTTGAGAGTACAGCGTCAAGACGCTGTACTCTCTGGTATGATAGTATTCTAAACCATAGCTGCGTCAAAACGCTGTACTCTCTGATATGGTAGTATTCTAGACCATAGCGGCGTCAAGACGCTGTATTCTCTGGTATAGCAGTATTCTAGAGCATAGATGCGTCAAGACGCTGTACTCTCTGGTATGGCAGTATTCTAGACCATAGAGGCGTCAAGACACTGTACTCTCTGGTATAGCAGTATTCTAGACCATAAATGCGTCAAGACGCTGTACTCTCTGGTATGGTAGTGTTCTAGACCATAGATGCGTCAAGACGCTGTACTCTCTGGTATGGTAGTATTCTAGATCATACCTGTGTCAAGACGCTGTACTCTCTGTTATGGTAGTATTCTAGATCACAGCTGCGTCAAGACGCTGTACTCTCTGGTATGGTAGTATTCTAGATCATAGCTGCGTCAAGACGCTGTACTCTCTGTTATGGTAGTATTCTAGACCATAGCTGCGTCAAGACGCTGTACTCTCTGTTATGGTAGTATTCTAGACCATAGCTGCGTCAAGACGCTGTACTCTGGTATGGTAGTGTTCTAGACCATAGATGCGTCAAGACGCTGTACTCTCTGTTATGGTAGTATTCTAGACCATAGCTGCGTCAAGACGCTGTACTCTGGTATGGTAGTGTTCTAGACCATAGCTGCGTCAAGACGCTGTACTCTGATATGGTAGTATTCTAGATCATAGCTGCGTCAAGACGCTGTACTCTGGTATGGTAGTGTTCTAGACCATAGATGCGTCAAGACGCTGTACTCTCTGGTATGGTAGTATTCTAGACCATAGCTGCGTCAAGACGCTGTACTCTTTGTTATGGTAGTATTCTAGACCATAGCTGCGTCAAGACGCTGTACTCTGGTATGGTAGTATTCTAGATCATAGTTGCGTCAAGACGCTGTACTCTGATATGGTAGTATTCTAGACCATAGCTGCGTCAAGACGCTGTACTCTGGTATGGTAGTATTCTAGACCATACCTGCGTCAAGACGCTGTACTCTGGTATGGTAGTATTCTAGACCATAGCTGTGTCAAGACGCTGTACTCTGGTATGGTAGTGTTCTAGACCATAGCTGCGTCAAGACGCTATACTCTCTGGTATGGTAGTATTCTAGACCAAAGCTGCGTCAAGACGCTGTACTCTCTGGTATGGTAGTATTCTAGACCAAAGCTGCGTCAAGACGCTGTACTCTCTGGTATGGTAGTATTCTAGACCAAAGCTGCGTCAAGACGCTGTACTCTCTGGTATGGAAGTCAGTAGAAAGATC